TGGCATTAATGTCTACAGGATTAATAAAATAATACTAGTCTGTCTTTTTTAACTTACGCTGAACCAAAATTAATTGGTTAATTGTAATTACAAATCATCTTCCCAGATGATATTTTTTAATAGCCATTTGAGTTCAGAAGTTGTTTTTCCAAAGTTTTTTTAACAGTTGCAATATCTATTGTATCTGTGGGGATGGAATCACAGAGCAAGCCCACTCGTATGCAGACTTTTAATGAATACGTGCCAGTGCTGCCATCTTTTGGACATTCTTTAACTATTTACTACGGAAAACTATGATCTGATTGACGAGGACATTGTTCACGAGGGATGTGGGGAAAACGTTAAAGACTTAACTTTGAAAAAGAGTCCTGCTGTGGACTTGTGATTCTATTCTTCTTAAAAACGCACTCGTGCTCACAAGCATACAGCTTTGTGAGTGTTTAGGTATCTCCCTGTGTTAAATGCTGAAGAACAGTTTGTGCCCTGAAATCTTAAAACATGTTGCAGTTACCTTTCTGTGTGCTATATAAAGAATTTGGTCATGCATTCCTCAGATGGAATTAATTTTGCTTATGGAAAAACACAATATCCATGAGGGCATTTTAGATTTATTTGTCCTCATTGCATTTAAAGTATTTATTTGGGGGCCTGATTACTCTAAAATATATTTTCTGTCTAGGAGCCTTAAAGGTGAAAGGTGAACAGATCAGTTCAACATGGAAAAAACCAAAACACTCTGCTTTATCTGAGTGAAAAGAAAAATGAAATTAAAAAGAAATGTTGGAAGCTCAGTTACACGAATGTCTAAAACAGTAGTGTGGATCTTTAGAAGGAAAAATTTATGCCTTCCCTTCCTGGGAATTAGATCTGAATTTTTGGTCCTTGCTACTGACAGTAAAGTAGTATTTCTGATAATCTGGGTGTTTCCCTTCTTTCTCAGCAAACAGCGTTCCATGAAAAAAACTTGGTAGAAAAATGAGTCAGAAAAATGTAGGTGCCAGATAACAGTTCAACGAATAGCTATCCCTAACAAACTGCTTTGGAGTATATACTAATAGCCTACAAAAAAACCACAGAGAATTTAACTGTATGGGTGTTTCCTATGACAAAGGAACAGTACCTCCTTACCTATCACTAAACCGTTACACGAAGAAGGAATGTTGACATGCTGGGTCATGGTGAAATAGCAGAAAGGCTCACAGTCACCTTCCTCATGTGTTAATGACAAGGGTATGGTGACCTGCTCTAGACAGTAGTTAGAGGTTATTATGGGTTTCATAGCGTTGCAGTCTACCGCAAGTTGAGTTCTGGTGTCTTGCTTATCATCTTGAAATGGCAGTACAATTAGTCTGACCTATTCATATCTATTGCTGCTACTAGCTGCCATTTTAGCATTTATATATTCATCATAATTATCTGTCTTTGTAAACATACTTCTTGAAATGGAAAAATTATCAAAACTTTGTAGTACTCTGACAAAAAAAATAGAAAGAAAAAGATATATACCAGCAATATAACTAGAAACAAGACAACTTTTAACTTAAATAAAAAACTTTATTAACAATGTAAAACGTTTAATATCTTACAGTCTCAGATATTCTGGCATGCTCTATAAGAGTTAATAGTGATATGCAGACACCATGCTTTGAATTCTATTGGAAACAAAATGGGTTGGTGTTGTGTTTTACATTGTTTATTTTAATACACTTTCTTTTAATAAATTATTTCTTCTTTTCCAAAAGCTTGTAAAGATACTATCAGCTTAAAAGGAAATCTGTTGCTTCTATGCATCGTACAGTATGTAGATATGATTTCTCTGTATTTACAAGTTCTAAGTATTTTCATATATGGTTTGTGTATCATAAATTAAAGATATTTTTCTATGAATCTTTTAAATTGAGATAAAGTGGAAGACTAAATATGAATGAAAGCACAAAAAGTGATTGGAGTTTTTGTGCAAATTCTGTTACAATATTGTTTAAATGTTTTATAACTTTAATACTTTTGCTATTAAATAGTTTTCTATGCTTAAAGACTGTTAGAATATAATCAAGTATTTTAATATGATACTAATAAGAGTACTGTACTATGCACAAACTTTTAGCTGCAGATCAAACAATAAAAAAACCTTTAAAATTATCTATTAACCATAATTCATGTGTCTTTTCTCTGAGTGGCTGAAAGTAAGCATGCAAAACATACTTTAAAAAGTTTTAAAAACATTCTTAGTTATGCTAGATCTATTCCACAGCTGGTTTTTGACCACCATAACTTTAAACTATTAAAACCCTTATTTTGAAAAGGGGGATGGAGCAGGCGAGAAAAAGGAATAGGAGAGTGTAGAAAATGTACTTTATAATCAAGAGTAGCAATGTTCTTCTGTGTTTAATCTTCTAACTTGAGACAAGACAACACAGTCCAAAGAATCTTCGCTTCCGTCTTCTTACCAATGGATACGGAGTCAAGTTTAGGAGGCTGCTGTCATCTGTGATGAAAAAAACTCCCACATTTTAATACAAGCACGTACACATGCACACACACAAAAGAGTTTACATCATTTATGTGTCCTAACAGCACCTACACAATCAAGTAATAGATCCCATTGTTCTAGGCACAGAGCAAATAATAACCTGAATTTTGTATATGAGAGTCTTACAATGCTAATTATCAGGCTCTCCATGATAACGCAACAGAAATTTTGGCAAGAAGAATACCACTTCAGTGATGAAACCTACATGAAATTCCACCTTCAGTACTGGGAGACCTAGCCACAATACTCCTCCATGGATAAATAATGTTAGGGTCACAAATAAAACCTAAAGATAAGTAGCTTGAGGTCTTGCAGACATGCAAGTTTGGAAATGTTGATCGTAAGGTTAAACTCTGGCTTAATTTAAACATAAAAAAATATTATTGAGTGGCCGTTTTTGCACACCAGGGAGAATTTCAATTTAAAACTGCAACACTGGAACATCCTGGCTCATCGAGAGAAAAAGCACTTGTCTGGGAAAGTTAGCACAGTACGCTCAACCTGTTTCTGCTTAGCTTTCTACCTTTTATATTAACTCCTTTTAAATTCATACAAAATTTATATATTAGTGCATATACTTATGTTAACTCATGCACTGGCAGCGAGCTATATTGCAAAACTTTTAGAATTAACTTTGAATTTGAGCCATCTTCAGGCATGATTTTAGGCTAAGAGCTATGCCTCACTACGTTACTATTCTAGTTACATCAGGGACCTAGATTTGATTGTAGGCTCTAGATACTACTATAATACAAATACTTAACTATAAGAATATAGGTAAGAGATCATTTAACATTGTGACTCAAGCTCATGAACACATCAACTAAATTTCTCAGCATAGTAACTTCCCTGCTGTCATTTAACAGAATTCCATACAAAAAAACAGGTCCGAGAGAAGTCAGTAACTTTATGTAAAGCTTTTGTGGGCTTGCAATCTTAACTCCATTCCGGTTGTCACTGAAATCAACAGCGAAACACTCACTCATTTACTGAAAGCAGGATCAGGTCTTGCAAAGGTCAGTTCGTTCAATGGCATCCATTCACTCATAATCATTCTCTTAAACAGTGCTTGTAATTCATATACATGTCAATATTACAGTACAGACCGTATTAATTACCTATAATGTTGTTTGTTTCTTCTATTTACTTATACTGTTATCTAACTTTAATTAATTAAATTAATTAAAGGTCTTGGAATATTTCAAGTTTTAAGCGCTGTGTAAGTAATGAGTATGACTATCTATTCCCGAGGTATCCATTCTTAGAGGTGATCTGTAAATTAAGATCACAGTTGGAGTCTATGAGAGCTGCAAAAATACCACTTATGGTTACCTGATCCCGGGGCTTCTCTCAGAGCTTTTAAACTCTAGCTGACATGTTTCCCACTCTGCTGCACAGGTAATCAGTGATTTTCTGGCTAGTGTTGAAGGGCAGTGTAGACAGCAGAGAATTCTGTATACCTTTATCTCTATTCTGAATTCAAGTTTCTACATGCTTTATATCCCCCAAATTTGTCTTCTCCTTCCTTATTTCCATCACACTCCTTTCTTCTAGGGTAGGCATAGACTTTATGGAATTTCTCCAGTCTCTACAATGGCACATCTGTATCATAAGGCAATTCCTTTTCTCCTTTCACATAGTTTTCCAGCAAGCCATCCTGCCACAAACTCTTACTTGCATAATGAGTTCATCCATTCTATATTCACCTCTTACCACGTTATGATGAATGCTAGACTGCCTAGTTACCTGCGACAAGATCTAGGACACATTAGGCACACTTCAGCAGCTGCCACTGTGCAAAGACTGCATAGCATTTAAGAAACACACATTATCAAGAAGAAATAAAAAAGGAAAAGTATTGTCTTTTTAATGCTGTTCATATAAGCTAAAGAGCCCCTGGAGATGTGGAGTATTTAACACTGCTGGGCCATAAAATGAAGGCCCATTACATACACGCATAGGATGGAGATCCTGGCTATGTGTGCATTTGTATGGGATGTCCTACAGCTGGATACGGGGAAAAGCAGGCCATTAGCAGACTCAAGGCAAGCATCTTTTCTGCATTGTGTCAGTGTCCTGTTGCAGAAGCTACAAGCAGTGAAGGAGTAAAACAAACCCCATCACTCAGCAGGATCCCTGTCATAGTCTGTGCAATCTACACCTCCACTACCTTTGGAAAAGAAAGCCTGCTGACACAAGGAATTAGTTGTGCTGCTGCCTTCATTTCTATCATCCATAGACACCATATCTACAAAATTTCAGAATACATCATGTGAAACTTGAGATGCCAAAGTTTATGTACTAAATTCAGGCTTCACTGAATCAACAGGGAAGAGATTTCACCTAGATTTTTCTTTTTGTAACTGCTATTTTCTTTTTGTAACTGCTAAAATCCCTAGATTTTTTGTATCTAATGGAAGGCAAACCCTTTAATTATCTTAATTTTCCTTACATGAAGAAAATACAAAACCTACCTTGATTTTTCAGTGGTAAAGGCATAGTCTCCCTGAGTTTACTTAAAAGGTTTTTCATTTCCCTCATATCTCTGTGGAAACAGAAGTTGAAAGAGATACAATAGAACAGCAGTTGAAGACTGAATGGGGAATGGCTCATAGTATAGTATTATATGCTGAAATAATGGAGCAATAATAACAAAAATCTATTGGGGAAAGCATTTGGTTCACACAGGTGTATCAGAAGATGCATACCAAAATAAAGGCCAGCAGATTTAATAAGGGAGCACTTTTAAGCCAGTCTGACATTGACTCATTGCATCTGGTCCAAATTTATGATCTATTCTGGCACTTCAGTATTCCATATTAAATGAACTGGCAGGCACAATGTGATCCTAGTGACAAAATACACAATATGCCTTAAAATTAGCACAAACTAGTGCTTATGTCAACTTAATACACCTTATCAGCATTTTGCAGCTTGTGCCAGGAATGTGTTTCATTGTTCAGAAGGAAATTATCATACATGTAGCTAATTCACTATACTTAAGCTCCCCGCACATTAAGGGAAAATTTTAGAAATAGGGCTGTCACTCTCACCCCTTTTAGGAGGACTCTGGCATGAAATTTTCTAAAAGGCAGAAGATGGAAAATTATTATCTCACAAAGCATTTTTATATGTTTTGAGAGAGGCTAGAAGCTGCAAAACAGCTCCTGTTTTACAGATAGATGGCAGACCAGCAATTTTGTGGGCAGGCTTGTAACAGCTTAAGGCTTTCAGGATTTAAAGACGATGTGCTCTTGCCTCATTCACCTACATATAAAATGGTTCCTAGAAAAGAAGCAGCATGACTAATAAGAAATTACTCAATTTTATTCTCCAAGTTACTCTCTCAGTAGAGCGGAACTTAGTTTTATATAAATAAACATGATAACCATTAAAATCTCAGCAGCAGCTTAATATACAAAGCCATCAAAATAGGTATTTTTTTGCAAAGAAATGTTGGTCATTGGATTACTCTCTACTGAAGGGTCTCATTTTTGTCTTTTAACTGCATAGTTAAGAAGGTAAGAGAAGTACACTTTGACAATCTGTGGATGACATTCCCCTGCCCTCCTAAGACTTCCACATTCATAAATTTGGGCAGAAACAACTGAAAAGAACTAGATTCTGTGGTTTTGATTTATGAACCCAGAACTGCAGGCCAGCAGATTTCAGGTACAAAATCAGAAATCACTCAAGATGAGACAAAAGCTGCTTCTTTTTGAGAACCTGGCCTACTAGCAACGTAATTTCCCACCCTTTGTTTTTGACAATTACCTTCTGGTAATTAGCCTAATTAAAGATGTCACTTCTCCCTGTCCTTCTTTTAGGAGTTGCTCTCAGCAATGTTAAATGTAACAGAGATGTTAACAGGTTACTTAATTCACTGATACCTTTTATAGTAGCAACACTGGCTGCCTAATTGGAAAAGACTAAATAAACCCCAGACAGAAATTTGTTTCCTTTAGGAATGAAGTGCTACATATACCTTTCAGTGTTTTCAATATCGGTGGAAACCTGCCATAAATGCTGTTGAATATCTGTTGGTGATGATGATGTGTCTTCTAAAATAGGTATTTCAGAACTCTCCTCCACTTTAGTATCTAGGATCTTGGGCAGGGCACAAGGTTCTTTTCCTTTAAAATATTTAAACAAAACACATATCCACATCATTTATTAATTAAAATGTATACTCAGATTACATCATTGATGTTTCAAGCTTTATCTTGCACAGCATAAATGAAGAGTGGTGAATGAAAACTCCGAGTAAGAACTGTTCAGAAAGAGAGCAGACCACATCAATCTGCTAATCAGTGCTGATGTATGTTACTCCTAGCAAACAAAACTAAGAGAAGTCCCACATAGCCACATGAGGAGCTTAGAGTTTTAGACAGTGAGTATTATGAAGGGTTTCAGTTAAACTCCAGTGCCTCACACGTGACACAAAATAAAAGCTAGAGGACAAAACAGAAAAAAGTAAGAAAAGTGCAGCATATATTCTGAAAGCAATTTCAAAAACTTTTGACACTCAAGAATATTGCAAACCATGTCTCCTAGTATTACAGCAATACTAAGGGAAAATAAAAAGCAAAAATGTGCAGTTTTGTACTTGATTTTAAAAGCAATACATAGCTGCCACCACTCACAGCCCAATATGAATTATATTCTGAATTCCCATGCTTACACTTGCCTAATTCATGCTCACTATTATGAAAGTGAAATGCAATGTTGGAATTGAATGGGGGCTTCAAGACAGATCTGCCAGGGAGACAATGGGATAAAAGATGTGGACCATGATAGTGGAGCATGCAAGAAAGTTAAGTACTGGTGGGATTTTCTGGTACCCTTGCAAACCTCCTGTGGACCGTCTGATGGGATTCCTTTTCTATAGTGTCAAGTACATTTAAACAAGAAAATTCAAATTGGAGTACGTCTCAGACACATTATTGAGAAGTTAAAGTTTTTCTCCCTCTGAGTTTTCTCATGAAACGAAGTAAACAATCTCAGAAAGGAAAAAAAAACAAAACAACTTTCTAAAAATAGAGAAAAAAATGTCCATGTTTAAACCAGTGGTATGAGGAGTTGAGTAGGAAATGTTTTTTCATCTCGCAATTTTTGCAACTTGAAAAATTTTCACATCAGGACAAACCTGAGTAGTTCCTATAAAGTTTGACAAAGAACAGGAAGAACAAGCACTGCTAACAGAGTAGTTGCCATTTAGCCCATTTTTCTGGGACACTAGAGACCAAGGCTGTAGACCATGCCATATTGCTCTTCCACGTTACAAATAAGTATCCCTGCTATCAGGCTTGTAACCTTGTTTTTTAGACTAGAAATTCCTGGATCTTAAGAAACTCTTTTGGGGCAGGTTCTCTAAACTGTTGTATTCTGTTAAATTATTCCTTTGCTGAAAAAAAAATTATTCTTAGTTACTCGTCTGAATGCCAAACTAGACATTACTTATACTACTGAAGACATTTGCTTAATGTTTTCATTACTCTTTAAAGTCAGGAGGAAGCCCTTTCCCCTGCTTCCCCCCAACTACATCATCTAACTATGATTCCAAGAGACGGCATGACCTGACATCACAAGGTTACCATCTATAAAAGAATGATGTCCTCTGTCCTTTCTCTGCTGCTTACTTTGGCATCCACTGCTAATCTGTGATTTATCAGATCCCTCTGTCAGCCACTTTAACTCATTAAATGGTAGAAGATTACCCCAATAAAAGGAAAAATAAAATGCGAAGTTTTCTGATGTTGCAATTATTTAAGTCAGGCCAGTAAAGCACTCTACATGTTCAAGAGGACGCGAAGTGCCAGAGAGGAGGATGATCATCTGGGAAGAAACAGTGGAAGGGAGGAAGAAATGGAGGTATGATAAGGGAGGGGAGATAGAGAGGAAGGGATCAAGATCTTTCTGGTGGCAACAAGCTATTATGGTAGAACAGCAGCCTAACCCTACTTCTCAGATTGCATGTTTTGCTCTGTATCATCCTGTAGGTATAACTTTCAAATTTTTCTAGTTCTTAACTGCAGCTTATGCTGTTATTTTAAGGTAGTGCATATTGTACACTTTTAATTCTTCCTTTGTGTAAGCTTCATTATTCATTGTTCTTCCCATCATAAGAAGCCCATAACATAACATACTGTTACCAATATCTCACTCACCACTTCTTTGTAAGAGAGTGTTGCCCCAGGGAAACTGTAATTTGCCACTGATATTACAAGGTGTTACTGCTGGAACTGGGTATTAGTTAATTCTCCCATTATTTCACAGTGTTATGTTGGTACTCTGACCTGACCTTTGGTGACATGATGTCAAGAACAATCCGGTCTATAGATGCATCCCTTCAGCGATGTGAAAGGTGTTTCAATGGAAACAATAACAATATTTGATGAAATAACAGTAAAGGTTCTTTTTCACAACTTCAGAACAGAAGCACCGAGACTGTAGCGTTCTTTTTGTTAGCACAAAGGCAATCTCTTGCATATTTGAATGAACGGCAGAGATTTCTTTTCAACTGAGAAAGAGCTCTTTACCAGTAATTCCGTTGTATTGTGAACAATTCACAAAGCCTTTCTTGAATTTCAGAGCATCTGCTCAATCACTTGAAAACACTGAAAGTGTCAGCTAATAATAAAGGTTTTGCTTAAATAATGTATATGACTCAGGCTTAACATTTCTACTACATGGCATAGCCTGTAGAGAAACAAAAGCTCTGCAATCTTCTCATCCTTCTACTGGCGGTAACCAGATCTTTTCTATTATACATTCTTAAAATAGGGACACGGACCTTAAATTTTACTTTCAAGTTACTCAGTGGAAAGACTTTCATTAACTTCTGTTGGAGTTTGACAAAGCACACAGCCTTGTCAGATGTGTCCACATAGATTTGCTGTTACTGCCAGTTGAGCAGACAGAGGCTTCTTTACTGTGAAATTTTAATATAAACCATGATGTATTCTTTGTCTTCTAGCCTCTAATTCAGCATTTGGTTTTTTTTTTTGTTTTTTGTTTTTTTTTTTTACTTTAAGAAGCAGAAAATGTCTTTGGTATGAAATTAAATTCATTGAATTAAACAGTGCTGAAGATCAAACTTGATTGAGGATAAATAAGAGGGTAGAAAACAATCAGTTCCGTAAGGTTACAGGCATCATCTGTGACCACCGTGCTTTATGTGTCTCACCTGTTGTGCTCCTCACTGCTTTCTGTGGTTCCCTATTTTGATACCCTACACACCTACTCTTAGTCATCAGCTACTTCGTAGGGAAACTTACATAACGAAAAAAAAATTATAGGTCCCACAGAGCTAGTTAGATTTCACTGCAGATGAATAGGAAAGATCTTTGAGGGGAGTAACAGAGTTTAACAAAGCTGAGAGAACCACTCTCTCAAAAGGAGACAGCATTTGTATCAGGCTTCTAACCAGGCAATTAAGGATAAATGCACAAGGTATAGATCACAGCCAAAGTAAATGAAAAAGAGAACATAAAAAGGGGGAACAGGAAACAATCACGTAGGAAGTAAAAAAAGAAATGTGGCTTAACAGCCTAATGAACTTCATTCCTGACTTACACTTGGCACCTGCAGAACTCAGAGATTGTCTCACTGGAAATTTTATTATTGAGAAGAATGCAATAGGAACAACAAGTCTGTGGTAGAATTGTTTTCCTCTGTCCATGTCTGTTTCTGTTCTATTCATTTTGGCCTTTTCACAGTGTTCACGGGAGAATAAGTGATTCTCTTGACTTTTTAAGTGCTTGTTTCACCACACCTGTGTACTTCTCTCTCACATCTTATTGTCTACATTTAGGCTGCACCCAGGGCTAAACTATAACAGTCATTCTATCACCCAATGAACCCTCACCAGCCAGGGAGGGGAATCATGAAAAAGGAGAGCAGACCCATGGGTAGCAGTGAAACAGATTTAATGAAAACAGCACCCATACCAACAGAGATACACTTAGCCAAATGAATATCCAGTCATCACAATCAACTGGAGAGCAGTCTTCAGGAGAAACCAGAGGAGGAGCAGGAGAAACCACACTGGAGCTCTCTCTCCTCAACAAACCTTCCGCCTGTATAATGACCATGACATTATGGGATGGGCTACACTTGTAGCTAACTCAGGTCAGCTGCCCTGGCTGGCTTGAAACTGTATAGCATGGCTGGGCTGTGATTCTGTCCCAGCCAAACCAAGACATGTATCCCTCTTGTGTAAGTAATATGTATAAGTAATTACACATATCTACCAGTCTTTAAATAGAATGCTGAGATTATAGCACGTGTTAAACAATCCTTCCTTTCTCCTTCAAAACTCTAAATAGCATGTAATTTAAACAAAGCCAAACAAAACAAAAATCCTTTCACTGAATTCAGAGTCTATTTCTGTAATCTGTAATATAAGCTATCATAAGATTTTAGGCACTATTTTAAGGAAATATATGTTATCACAAAACACACATTGGAAAAACAACAATTATGTGATGAACTTCTTGTATGGTACATGATACACAGTTATCTATGAGTTGGTATTCTTCTGATGTACCAAGAAGGCAGGAATGAGTTCAGTCTGAATTTACATCACAAAAGCCTAATGTTTTCTGTCCATAGTACGCACATGTGATTTTCCCATAAGACTCAATTCTTCACTTTTTCACCTAAATATTCAGGTACCTACCACTCTGGTTAGTGCTGGTATCGTTCTGACCTCAGCTATGTTTATACAAGTCAGATGGGGCCCACACATCTCAATTACAGTGACAGATCTGTAATTTTTTCTTCAGGGCTTCCAAATAGGCTTGTGGTAAGAATAAACAACATGTAGGTTATAAGCATTAAAGTATCTTCCATCTTATTCTAAGAAATTATTCATGTATAAACACATGATTGAGATAAAAAGACACAGGAAAAAATAAAGACTTTGAGACCATTTCATACAACAAACTGTAAGATTCTGGAGACTAGAGCGATGTGTAAATAAATGACAGCAAAAACCTCTCCATGTGAGCATGCTTCTTTTTAAACAAGTTACAAACAATACTGCAGGTTGAACTGATTCTGGACCATAAGAACAACATATCCTTATAACTATAGATGAGCAGTGACTTATTTTGGCCTAACTCAGCATAAAAGGCTACCAGTTTCAAACCTTGTGCTTCTTTGACAAGGTAGCTTTAACTATTTGTACAGCATTTTTTGAACTCTGGAAGAAGTCCAGTTCATTTTAACTGTCCCCTTCTGCCTTTGATTTGTTATATAGACTTACTCCCTTCATTATTAGAATAGTGACTTGCTCAAATGCTGCATAGTTAGCTAATAGAATGACTGCAATCTGCAGAAATTTAAATTTAATTTAAAAAAAAAATTTCTAATATATGTAATTACATAACCAAACAAGTCAGCTATATCTGTAGATGATCCTTCGAAATTCACGTTTTCTTTACAATTTATGTATAGACATTAAATTTTGGTAATGTGCACTTCCACAGTGACATGATGTAATGATCCATTGACAATAACATTTTACAGTTCCTAACAATGAAAAGAATATAGTATTATTGTGGATACACTATTCAGCAAAGCTTTTTTATGTTTACATTTTGAAAATGCAATGAAGTTCTTTATAAGGTATCAACGAAAACCTTTGACCCCAAAATATTTGTGGCTGAATATAGCAATGTATGCTGAAATGTACTTAAGAATTCTGAGGTAGTTCCAGGTTTTCTCAGTGTGGGACCTTGACAACCTCAGTATTAATTTGGAAAAAGGACCATCACATCCAGCAGCCTCCATGGTCAGAAATTATGTCACCTGCTTCTTCTAAGACCTTGCTAGCTAAGCCAGGATTTGTTTATTTAATCAAAAGAATAGTCAATGTTGGGAACATGCAATGTGAATAAAGTAGACATAAACATTTAAAGGAATTAGAGCTGAATTTTGTAAACACTTCAGAGACACTTAACCTCCTTCAGAATATCTTACTTTCCATGAAACTCTTTTAAGAACTGTATTTGACACTGCTTCCTAAGGCACAAAGCTATATAATTCAAATGACGGAGTGGAACAGTTAAAGCAAAACCAAGATTAGGAGAGAAGCTGAAGGTCCTAGGTAAGTGAACTCATCTGTTGCTTGACTAAGTCTGAAAAAGATGATTCTATCCAGAGAAGTTCTGCCAGTGTGATAATGATGCAGAAGAAAACCAGATGAACAAATACAGTGAGAAGTTTCAGATTTCCTGGAAGAGCTGCAACATGAGCTGCCATCTGCCATATCTGCCATCCCCTGAACAGGTGATTGCTACAGTCACCCCCAACATGTATTTGCTATGATAAAAGGGACAGCAAGATCCTTAAAGCCATTATGTTAGCACCTGTAGGAAGACAGCAGAGTTTCTCACAGTGCTGCCCTGAAAACTGGACTCTATACCTACCCAAAGTTTTCATGTGATCTTATCCAAGTTGCTTAAACTCAGATCCTCAAAATAGTTATCAGCAAAGTATTTCTAATTGTCTAGCTGCTTAACACAGAGATTCTGACCTCAGCTGCAAATGAAGCTACTGAAAAATTACTCTATGAACACACAGAGCACTGCATAAAGTACACTGCAATCTCAGATTCTAAATTAGCAATCTTTAGCTTAATCTCTCTTTGTTCCTTCTTTACAATGGGAAAAATTGCTACTACCTCACTACTTAAGGCAGTTTTGAAGATGCTCCCATCAGTGTGTGAGTTACTGAGAAAGGTCTGAGGAACAGAAGGATTCTGCCTTTAGAACAGAACTGTGTGCAATAAATACAATGTACGACACTGAACAATTAGGATAAAAGAAAGATGTATGCCTAAGTAAATATTTACATTTTCCTAGAGATAAATTTATGCACTTTGCCAACACTGCAGTGCCATTCTCCATATGTAAAGAAATTAAAGAAGGGTATGGATTCATTCTTCTCCTTGGAAAATACATTATGTTTTGGCAGAACGCAGAATAAAAACAGGTTGCAAGGTCACCTAGTCTAGCACCCTACTGAAAGCAGGGCCAACTTGCATCATATTGCTCAGGCCTATTTGAGTTATCGGTATCTACAAGGATGGCGATTTCACAGCCTCTTTGGGTGCCTGTTCTGGTGTATGACCACTTTCACTGCGAAAAAATAATTAACATGCAACTGGAATTTTCCATGTTGCATGATGCCTTTACAATACTTCTAGGTGTTGTAAATACCAAGTATTTCACATAGAAGAGCAATGTTCTATTGGCTAAGTTCCAAAATTCAAATTCTTTGAATCCCTGTGATTATGTAATTTTTGCCTATTAAGAATTTTTTTCAAAGAATGTCACAGAAACTTGGAGCCAAGTTACTGCCTCTATATGGATAGAGGACAAAAATTACTCTATTTAGCAATGGCAGAATAGCTACCATGACTTTCTTTATGATGAATTGAGAAACCAATGTATATAAAAAGTTCTGCCAGATAAGAACTAAGCTGGCCCATAATAAAATGCCATAATTCATCTTATCCAACTTCAGACATATAATAGTTTGGTGTTTAGTTTAAGTTATTAATGCAGATACCATTGAGAGGCAAAAGAGAGAGACAAGACATATTGGGGTTACTCAGGTCACTTCAAGCTACTTTCTTTCTGCAAATACAGAAGGTGGTTTGCCAACTGTAGCCACAGCTAGGGAACATAGTGTAATCTGTCTTAAGAAACAATGACTCACTTTAGCTGCTACTGGCATCTTGTTATACAATGGCTCTGTTAATTCTGTCTGTAATTTCTTTTTGACTTGAGAAAATCACTGAGAAGCTCAATGGAGCAGTTATAAACCTCTAATTCTTAGTTTCATAACAAAAATATCTCTGGCTTTCGCTGTAGCCTATACCTAAGTGTGAAAAATACATCACAGGATCTTTCTGCACGAAAGCAAATGCATAAGGTTCATTACAAGGCCTTCATTACAGTTCATTACAGACTTTTGTCTTGCCTTTACCTATTCTGCTGAGATGCTATCAGTGAAAAGAGTAGTTACAATCAGCACAGATACAGTCCCAATCATGTGTGCCATCACTGAGTAATGAGGTTACTAAGTAACCTATTAAATAAATTATCTGCATTTTTACATCTTCCTTTCAGTAGGCGGTTAACCAAATATGAAATCATTAGAGAGGTGCATTTTCACTGAAGCAAGGACATCTTCCTTGTGTGTAAAAATACTTTGTGAGGTAGATTTCAGTTTTGAATATACTATCTAGTTTTATAAAGGTGGGCAGCTTTTTAACCATATTTATCTGTCTTTTGCTATAAGCTGGCATTGCTGGATGAATAACAACAGGGACAGTAAAGGATCAGTTTAGTACTGAAACTATCCCATATTGCTCCACCAAACACTTGCCCCGAACAAATACCTTTAAAAAAGTGACTAAGATCGTTTGCCCGTTGATCAGACTAATGACAGCTAAAGCTTTCGGGACCACTCTTTTAAAAAAAATTTCAGACTTCCAAATTGCAAGGACATTAGTGCTACATGCCTGATATGACACACTTCTGTAAGGAAGATAATAATGAAACAAATACAGCTTTTTTTCAGTAGCTGAAAAGCTTCAGTGGTATAGTTCATTTTATGGTTTGGTGCTTTGCCTTTCATGAATACCCATGCACACCCCAAAAAACTGCTCTTTTTTTTTTTCAGTTCAGCATCTGTATATTAGTGCAATTCAATACCTTTCCGATGAAACTGCAGCGATCCCAGCAGACATATGGACTTAAGCATTTCTGTTGTGTACATTTCTAAGCAACACTGCAACTGGATATATAGTCTACAAATTTCAGGATGAATTTCACCATCTTCTGGGCTGCAGTAAAAGAGAAAAAATTTAGTTAGGAATAGGACTGGAAGGACATTGACGGTCATCAAATCCACTTCCTTACAGTTGAAAGCAATCACATCATAATCTGCTTCATAAACTATTAAGCTATATGATATAGGTATATGATAAAAACCCTGTTTCTACCAAACTGTATTTACAAACAATTCTTTAGTTCTATAAAGCTCTAGGCTCAAAACAGCTAACTTAGGTTATCCTTCAAAAGATTGCATGTCCTTATTTTTGCCTCTGCATATTTTTGGAAAAGGGGCAAATAACTGACTGAGATCGCTTCTCCTCTTTAAAGCTTTGGATTAGTATTTTCTGGTAGATTGAAGTGTTCTTTTGCCATCCAGTTTCAGTTACCCTTGGTTATGGTGCAGATGCTGGAGATTGCAGGACCACTTTCACAGTCACTGTTCAGGTTACAAATCCTGGATTAGGCATAATCAACCCTACTTCGAAGATGTTCTCATCAGAAACAAGTCAGTTGTTGTCTTTTGGTTCTATAGCTTCTGTCTGAATTTATTTTTTCCTCTCTGTGTTTAAATTAGTAGTCATGTGATACTGCACTGAGGAGAATAGGATGTTCGAGAATTTTTTTCAGAAAAGTAGTAAGACTCTTGAAAACAAAAACTGAAATCAAGAGTAACCCTACACCTCCAATTAATTGCTTAGGACACTAAGAAAATAATTTATCCGGTTCCAGGAACCAAATCTCATGCCTTGCTGTAAAATCAGACATTAAATCTCACTTTTTTGGCTGAGAATGCTGCATGGGCAGAAACACACTTTTTAATAAACTTAAATCGTTTCTGTAAGTGCTAATGAAGTAATTTAACCAGTCATACCCGAGAACTAGGTTTTCAATGCTCCTACTAAAGGTACTTTCAATAGGGCAGTAAGTGGTAAAATTCGAGAGTTAGGATTTCAGTCATCTCATGTTCAGACATTCTTGCTATTGGTTTGCTACATAGTGCAGTTAAATGATAAGATAAACCCTCAAAAATGGATTTTATAATAACCTGCTTTTCTAAATAACCTGAACCTAATGGCATTTCTGAATACTACTGCTAAGAAATGAAAAAAATTTTTCAGCACATTTTCAGATTTCTAGCCTGTGAATAATATAAACAAAGCTTTCACAATAAAGAGATTGCTAATTTTTTACAGTGATTGAATTTCCTGTGTTTAAACTGATACTTCAAAAGATCCTCCTGTATATCAAATAAAAGTAGACTTGTGGATTTCCTCATGGGAACCAAAGCAACTTACCTGGCATTATTTTATTCTAGCTGTCCCTGGCAAAACAATTGAGAGTCTGCACGCAGGTGTAAGAAAACAGCATTTTCCTCATACAGCTATTTAATTTCTAAGAAGCAAAAATGGTGAAAACCTTTCTTTAAATCTTTTTTTGGTCCTACTAACAGAATTTTTAACTGTGTGGACTAAGAAAGCAGCAATTATATACAAGATGATTGGCTCATAAGCCAATTTGAATTTATCAGAAGCTTCCTAATCACAAATGAGCTGAAACAGTAATCAGAAAGAAGATTAATACGTGTTTTAATTTACTTATTTTGCTGTTGTAAATCTAACGTATTTTTCTAGTAAACTCTATTTATGAATAGCATGACAATAAGAACTAGAAACATCTATGATATATGCATGTTCTGACCCATTCTTTTTTTTTTCAAGACTATGGAGCACCTGCAAATGGACTGTGGGCAAAATTCTTGTCTCATTTGCAAATCCAGAGTAACAACAGCAACAAGCAAGAAAAAAAAATTTTAATTATCCAAAGCTTATACAATGAGAATTATTTCCAGGCCACTACCCTCAGTGATTGTCTCAAACCATTTAATTAGTGTTTAATTGCAACAATGATCACAAGAATTCCATTAGCTTGCAACCAGTTTTCTCCGATGCCTGTACATAGGCCTCATTTTCAACTCCGAAAGCTACAAGCTGTCATGCCAATGCACATGAAGATTTCTATTATAATCCCTGAAGTACACTCTGTGTAGTGGGCTTAAATTTTCCCTTTAAAGTATCATCAATTTCACTTATCTCTTTTCTATTTCTGTATGTTCATGAGAAATGCTGAACAAGGTACTAGTACAGCATAAGATTCAGAAAGCTGATTATGACATGTTTATTATTACAACAGCTATACACCAAATTTTTGTTTATTTATGAAGTTCATGCAAACTTGTGTTACCACCCTCCCAAGCTACCTCTGTTTCAGTCAGTCCAGCTGATTTCTTTATGAAGACCACCTAGATATTCAAGAGAAATCTCATATAACACAATCTTGTACAACTACTGTGCTATATTGTGTTCTCAACAGAGCTGTTTAATAGCTTTTGTGCAGCTGGACATATTAAAGCTAGCACAGCACTGAGCACCTGCCCATAAGCCAAAGACCAGTTGCTCATTGCTGGCTTCCAAGCACAGCTGCCACAAAGCTGTGAATAGGAATTGTGCTTGCTTGCCGCATCCATTGTAGAGCAGAAATTTTCTTGCCTCTCCCTCTCCACTTAGGTAAGATAAAGAGCTACCGATAACCTTTACAGGATTTAGATACACAGGTTGTGGCTTTTTTGAGGATGCTTCACCTGACAGGGAAGGACCGCTGCCTTTTACAAGATGAATGCAATGAATGGCCCACAGAGGAAGGGACCGAAGACAGATTTATGGAATTCTATGGCTCTGAGAAAGCCTCTTGACCTGCCAGTGAAGCAGCAAGACACATGTGTTCCCATACATGAGGAAGGGGGAATGGTGAGATGGGTGTACATGTGCTTACACAAACATTTTGCATGTAGGCTAAAGTTTATAGGTCCATATAAGCAGGCATATTGCTTAGTAACTGTCAGGCTTCACTCCTGCCTCATCTTCACTAGAAAACAGTAGGCTTTGATTTTCAAATAGAAGTAAGAGAAAGGCTTCCTTCATGCAGATATTTTTTAGTTTTGTTTTTAATAATAAAAACTGTATGAAACAAAGCCAGGCAGTTAGCTTATTACCACCAACGACATTTCCCATCATGAGGTTTGTAGGATTACTTATTCGACCTAGAAAGACCTGATGACGTCTAGGAAAAACTAGCAGATCATTTGGCTCTGATTTTCCTTTTTTCTCTCTCTGCTAAATTATGCTGATAGCCATGTATTAAACACTTTCAAATGTCATGTTCCTCCCTTACTAGGAATGTCTGTAGTTGTCACACGAATACTATACCACTACGGTGCCATAAAAGGTAGAAGTCCTTATTCAAAGATGTGGATACTACTCAGTTGATGAGAAACTCGTACTACTGTGTGAGCTGTATTCTTGCAGTTTGAAAGTTCTGATATCTACTTACTAAAAGCAGTTAGAAAAGAGAAAATGCTGGTTTATTCCTTTCCGTAACAGCATCTTAAGTTATGTAGTTTATCAGGCTGCTATTAAAATAAAAAGTAAATTTCTTTGTAAAAATAACTTAAATAAATCTGTAACATGACATTTTCATACTTTAACCATTGGTAAAATCGATGGTTTTCTTTCCATAAAATCCTACTTTTTAAAAATCAGGTCTTGTTGTTCAACTGAATATGTTTATGAAGCACTGAAAGAGGTGGAATTTACTTTCCTTTATATTTTCCTGATATTTAAATTAAAACCTCTAGAGGGAGCTCTTATACCAACCATATAGTAGCCGGTATACGTACGACAGGTGAACGCAGCTCTTTGGACAAGCATTTTGAAATACAAGAATAAACGTGATTCAAACACCCCTCCTTAACATGAAAACGTAAAGAGTGAATATTCCATTAAAATTTTTCTTTGTTTGTTTGTTTGTTTTTCCAAAATAGTTGACAGATTATTTTATTGTACTGCCAAATGTTGTTTATAACTAAAAAACACCTTCAGGTTTTCCTGAATTCCCAAAGGTGTCCAGCACTCATAGTTCGTTGAAATTAGTGAAACTTAAGACTACTAAAACTGAACAGAGATTATGTCTAATTCTGAATTTAAATTAAAAGGTTTGGTCACACATTTACAACAAAGCAGTGTTTTATTTTTACTATAAACAACATTTAAAAATACATTAAACAAAAAACATTAAACAACATTTAAAAATACACACTGATGTACTATCTGCTTAAAAACGTAATTTTTATGAAGGGTTTGATACACCTTTTTGTAGAAGTATTGTTTTGACAAATTCTACGCTTAACTCTAAAGTATCATTTTTATGAACAGTATCAATACCTCTAAAATATGAGCTGAAAGAACTATCTAGACATACAATGAAGACTGCTTGTCTTCAACAGCTAAAGGAAAAATCTGGCGAATCAGAAGTGAAAATGAGTTCATCAAATTCTGCCTTATGCCCCATATACATACTTCCCATGAAAAGGAATGTGAATTGGCTTGATAAGCTGTGGAAAATCACTGCCCACAAATACTACCCTCTAGATTGTCTTTTAATTTAGTATCAGAAACACTGCAGTTTAGAAATATGTAGCAGCTACAAATTTGACCTGGAAACAAGCCTTACCTCAGAGATTATAGTTCTGCCAGAACGAAAAATGTGACAAATACTGCAGAGGAAATGTGCTTACTCCCCTTAGATACTGAGGGCAAGAGGCTCCTCCGATTATGGCTCAGCTGCAACAGCCTACTAAACCTGCCTCTGCTTCTGTATCTTAAGTACATCGCTTATTTCTTTATCACTTAACCATTCATCTTTAAAGGTAACAAAAGACTTGCTGATTCATTTTGAATACAAGTAGAAAAGCCATTCAACGACAATGTTTTCTTCTAAACAGAACTTGAGAAAACATTCTTATTTCTGTTCCTCCCATCTGCTGGGGTTATTTTTTTTTTTAAATGTGTTTCACACAAACTGCTGTCAGTTTCAGTATGATGTGTT